AACCAAGCTATTTTTTTAAATGGCATAACATTTATACGGACTCCAAAGATATACAGATGGAAAATTAGCACATGAAAAGATACTGTTATCATTTGTTATTAGGAAATGCAAATTAAAATCATTACTATTTAACTACTATTTACCTATTTTAATGACTAAAATTTAAAAACTGACTGCCTGGAATGTTGACAAGGATGTAAAGGAACTGGAACTTTTTAACACTGCTGGTGGGAATATAAAATTACACCACTGAGAAAACAATATGACCATTTCTTTAAAAGTTCAACATACCTATCTACTGTATGACTCATCTTTCCATCCCTAGGCAGTTAGGCAAGAGAAATGAAGGTTTTATGCCCATAAAAATATTCATACATAACTGTTCACAGCAATATTATATGTAATAACCTCAAATCTAGAAGCAACCCAATGTCCATCTACAGATAAATGAATAAACAAAGTGTGGTATATCCATGTAGTGGAATACTGTTTAGGTATAGAAAGGAATTTACTACTGAAAACCCAACAACATAGATGCATCTTAAATAATTATGCTTAGTGAAAGAAGGCACACATACAAAAAGGGTACACATTTCTGATTCCGTTTATATAAAGTTCTTGTTGTTCACTTGCCAAGTGTGTCCTACTCTTCTGCGACCCCATGGACTGTAGCCTGCCAGGCTCCCCTGTCCATGGGATGATCCAGGCAAGAATACTGGAGTGGGTTGCCATTTCCCTCTCCAGGGGATCTTCCCAACATAGAGAAATCCACATCTCCTTCCTTGACAGGCAGATTCTTTACCACAGAGCCACCAGGGAAGCCCTATATAAAGTTCAAGTAGATACAAATTAACCCATAGTGACAAAAAGCAGATCAGTCATGGCTTGCAGCAGAGGGTGCAGGAAACTTTGGGGTGTTACAGTTGATAGGTTCACTGTGTTGATTGCGGTAATGGCTTGACAGGTGTATGGAGAAGTTTGAATGTAGCATATTGTACACTTTAAGTATATGCAGCTTATTGTATGTCAGTTATACCTCATTAAAGTAAAAGAAAGTGGCTAACAAACCTCTAAACTCTCACTCGTTCCCTGTAGTAAGTCCCTAGAGGACGTCTCTGGCCTTGATCCCATTTCTTCTATCAAACAGTACTTAACAGGAGGAGAAGGCCTATGCGTGTACTGTGCCTTGTGGAGAGCACGGTGGTGGGGTACAGCAGAAGAGTCTGGGTGTCCAACTGACAAGGCGGGGGGGGGGCCAATTAACTGGCAAACTGAGTTTCTGGGATGTAGGGCTAAATGGAGAAAGTACAATTTTTCTTTTTTACTAGAAGTCTAAGCACGAGATTTTTGTCTTGTATTCACAATCAGGTGTTAATTTTTCATTATAGTAAAAAGACATTTCAGAAAATTCCTTGGGTTTCTTAATGTCAGATTCCAAATGTGGTTATCTAGGCATTAATCAACCCAGCATTCAGGTCACTTTTTTTTTCCCCTGAAGAAAATTTTCGAAGAAATTTTTACATGCTTGTTGCTTAAAATTGTTGCTATCGAGTAAAAGACCAAGTTGTTCAGCATCTTCTCTTTGACTTCCAGCAGACCTGATAATTAACCCCGGTATAGGAACAGACTGTTTTTAACTCCAAGCAGTTAGCAACTGCAGGTGCCTTCATGGCCACACAGACACAGACACCATGGTGCCCCCAAGCGCTCACACCTGGATGTTTTCTAAGCAGCAGTTCCAGTTTGAGCCGGGTGAGTGCCAGCAGCCTTGAAGAAGTGTCTAGTCTTTCTGTCGTTAATTGTAGAGTGCAGGGTTTGTGGTGAGGTCAGTCACTCAGCACAGTGGTCTGTGAGAGCATTTTTCCACTTGTAGAGGTGTTTTTCTTCTAGTCCTAGCAGCTGATCTCCCTGAGTGCCTGTAAGTTCAACTTAAGGTCATATTCATTATCATTTCCATTCTACTTTACCTCAGAAGTGGGTCATTAAAATTATATTTCCTAAACATATTAAATATCAGAATAATCAAGAAAAGATAACATTTATATATGCAGCAAGTGGTTTTTATGGAGAAGAATCACTGAGAGAGATGTTTTGCTATTCTGGGGCTTTGTTGAATAATTTTTTTAAGTTTTTAGAATTGTCATGGACTAGATCAGTGGAAATTGCCCTGAACTCTTCCCCTGGAAACAGTGAGCCAAGGGTCTGGCCTGTGATTACGGAGTTTTATTCCAAGGGCTATTGGGGCAAAGTTGTTCTTGGAGCTCACACCCAAGCACATTGCAGATTTCTGAGACTCTCAGATGGTAGAGAACCAAGCTCCATCCTGGACCTGTCTCCTTCTTCTATCCCAACAGCCACAGTCCAAGTCGCCCCCTCTCCATCATGTGCACCGTGGCTGCTTGAGGTGGTGCTATGGATTCAGGAATTCAGGCTAAGGAGTTTAAGTTCTAAAACCTGGAATATGATGCACTACACCTCACTATTCAGAGCCACACTCCAGTTGTCCTACAGAAAGCTCTCCTGTCCTGGGGAGGCCAGATGCAACAGGAAGGGTGGTAGCTCAGGTCAAGAAAGCAGGTCCATCCACAGTTTGCAAGCCTGATGCAGAAGAGTCAGACTGTTTTAATACATCTTTTTAGCCTCCATTTTATTTTGTATTATGTATGAACTGAAATTTTAGTTCAATGTAAAAACCAAAAAAAAAAAAGTTAATAGGAAAAGAAAACCTTTAATCATCACAGAAATCTAGGTTTCTAATCAAGTGATAAAGGTTGATAAATTGATGGTATCCAGATCATGACTTTAAACTCCCATTGATCTAGTGAGTAATCAACATATTGCACATATGCCGCTCTCTTGGCTGACCAAGTGTGAGTCTACATTGCCAAATTAAACATGGAGAGGAAAGCTGGCTTTTAGACAGCCTGCCTGCAGTGTTCATTTGAAACAGCTTTTAAGCAAATACAATTATGATTGGAACTTATCTCAACCAAGTGAAATTCTTTCATTGGTCATGAGAGAGAGAGCAATCCAGAGGTGAGGTTGCTGGGTGGACCACAGAGTGTCCCAAGGTCATTAGCCTATCTTCTGCCAACATAAGGTGGTTCCAGAGAGTCTGCCTAAAGCACACCACAGCTCAGTGACCGTCCCAGGCTCTGCCTTGCTCCCACCCTCCCAGGGCATTCCCTCATCCTTATTCCTCCCTCCAGTGACCTCACTAAATTACCGATGGAAAATTAAGGTTAAAAGGCATAAGCTCTTCCCTCCCACCCTTGGCTCTTGAACATACTTTTCTTTTTGTCTACTCTTCTATTCCGCCTCATTTTTAAGGCTTTTGCCTGCTTCTGGACCCTTGGCCTCATTCATTCTTGCTTTCCCAGGGCCTTACTCTCTTAGTTATCAGCTCTTTCTCCACAGTTTATTCTCTGTTGGTTCCTTCTGCGTTGCCCTCAGACAGGCACACATTTCTTTTCTCAGGAAAACGACTCTTGCTGTCCCCCTAAACCACCACCTTCTTTTCTCATTCCTTTCACTGCCAAACTTCTGTAAGTATAATTTTTCTTGTTGTATTACACACTGTTACACCACAAATGCCTGGAAAGCAGGAACCACAGCATACAACAATTCGTATTTGTCAAGTATCCAGCACAGTATGAAGTAAATGGGACACTGACTGAGGAGCCTAACAAGCCAGGATTCAAATCTAGGCTCACTCATTACTGTAAGTGACCTTGGGTAAGTTACTTAATCCTGCTCATCTTCAGCTTCCTCATTTGTAAAGGGTTGGAGGTGGGTGATAATACCCATCTTCAGAGAATCTGAACGGACATTTTTCCAAAGACATACAAGTGGCCAAAGGTATATGAAAAAGTGCTTGCTCACTAATCATCAGCAAAGTGCAAATTGAAATCACAAGACATCACTTCACACTTGTTCAAATGGCTGGTATCAAAAAGACAAAAGGTAACAAGTATTAGAGAGGATGTAGAGAAAAGGGAACTCTTGTGCATTGCTGGTGGGAATGTAAATTCGTTTAGTCACAATGGAAAATAATATGAAGGCTCCTCAAAATATTAAAAATAGAACTACCATATGACCCAGCAATCCCATTTCTGGATATGTTAGAGGGAATGAAATCATTATAGAGATACCTCATTGTAGCATTATTCACAACAGCCAAGAAATGGCAGCAACCTAAGTACCCATCTACAGATGAATGGATAATATATACATAACATATATAATACATGTTATATAAACATTATATACATAAACATTAGAATATCATTCAGTCATCAGAAAAAAGTAAATCCTGCCATTGCAACAGTGTGGATAAACCCTGAGAGGATTATGCTAAGTGAAATAAGTCAGAGAAAGATAAATACTGTATGATCTCACTTATAGGTAAAACCTTAAAAAGCCTTACTCATAAAAACAGAGTAGAATGGTGGTTACCAGAGGCTGGGGGTTGTGGGGAGGTGGCAGATGGAGAGATGTTTGTCTTCCAGATTTAAGAGGAGTTAAGTTCTCGGGATCCATTGTATACCATGGCGACTATAGTTAACAATACTGTATTATATCCTTGAAAGTTGCTAAGAAAGTAGATCTTAAATGTTCTCACGTAATCATATGAGGTTATGGAGGTGTTAACTAACACTAACATGGTAACCATTTTACAATAGATTTGTGTGTTAAATTACTGTGTTGTACACTTTAAACTTACACAATGTTATATGTCAATTATAGCTCAATAAATCCAGCAAAAAATAATGCATATCTTGCAGTGTTGTTATGGAGATCATATGAGATTATGCTTATAAAACCCCCTAGCATGGTATCTGGCAAAAGGCTGGCTCACTTCCCACTTCCACTCCTGTTAGGGATTCAATTGACTGAGTCACCAAATGGTCTCCCATGCATTTCAGTCAGTGTTCAGTAGCATGGCATCCACTTTTTGTTCCATTTAATTCTTATTCTTTTCTTTGCCTTGTGTGTTTCAGGTTCACAACCAGTATCCAACAGAGTTTGAATTCAATCTCTATTACTTAAAGTTCTTGGCTTTCCACTATGTGTCTAATCGCTTTAAAACATTTCTCCTGGATTCAGACTATGAAAGATTAGAGCACGGTACGTGTTTGCATGCCCTTGTTCAATTTTTTTTTGTTAGTTTTATGTATTTTTAATTAAAAACTCTAATAAAATAATCACCCCCAAGTGTGGCAAGGCCATTTTAGTGTTTTATCCTGAACTATGAAAGTATAATGGACATGAATGAGTGAGATTTTGTGCTGTGCTAGATCTTAGGGACTGCTAATGGTCATCATGTAGCACCTTTGAAAATGTAAATCTGCTTATTACTATCTTATTATCTCCAAGCAGTATTACTGTTTGTGGAGAAACACCTGACTCCTAGTTATTCCATCCTGGTACACTCTGGTAGGTTAGTGGTTCCCGGGAAGCAACTTGCATAGCATTTATGGCCATGGGCTCTGGAGGAAACAGAATACAGTTAAATTTCAACACTGCCAGTTACCAGCCAAGTATCAACACTTAGGACAGGTTAGGTCCCTCTCTGAGTTTCCTCAGTTTCCACATCTTTAAAATGAGGATAATAATAGCACACACCCCTTTTTGGACCAGGATGACCACATTAGGAAATATTTGTAAATTTCTTAGCACAGTTGCTACTACATAGTAAGAATTCAATAAATTTTAGATAGCACCATTATTATAATTGTATTGGCAGTAACAGTTCTAAAGAATAGATCATGAAAGCTGGTCAACCCCTGTGTAAACGTTCCCGAAGGGGATTTTACTTTCTTACTCTGCTGTTGTTATAGGGAGGGGGAAATGGGGTTACACATGAGTATTTTTATTAAGAAGACAATCAAACAAAGAAAAGCAGTATGTTTACTGTTTATTTTCAGTATATTATATATACTGAATATTCCTAAAGAGGATTCTCTTCATGGCTGAAAATATTTACTAATGTTCTGAGTTTAAAATATGAAAGCAAGAAATACTGTTTTTCAGTGCATGTTATTAAACTTGTCTAGTACAGTACTTCATACTTTCGGTAAGGGAGACAGCACTGGTGAGACCATTTCCTTTCCTGTTTGTACTTCCAGACCTTTGTTTACTCATAAAATTGTCATTCCACATATCACAATCAGAAGCCTTAATTTTTTAGTCACCCTTGTGTTGGGAAGACATTAAATAGAGCTGGTTACAGTGGACATTAGAATCACTTAGAGAACTTTTTTAAATGACTTTTATCTGGGGCCCATTCTCATATTCTGTAACTGGTCTGAGGTGAGACCTAAGTACTAGGACTTTTTGAAGCCCCTGTGTTTTTGTTGTTGTTGTTTTTATTTTTTATTTATTTATTTATTTTTTTGTGTGTGTTGTTGTTTTTAAATGAGTGGCCAGGGTTGAGAACTACTGTTCTGCTCTATACACTTAAAAGGTAGAGAAGAAACATTAATTAGTGTTGGTGCTGGTTTAGTCTCTAAGTCATGTCCAGCTCCTAAAACTCTATGTCTTGGGGGCCCCTCATACTATAAGATTTTGTGCAGTCTTGGGCATGAGACATTCTTTTATGGTAAATAAAATGCTTGTTAACTTTTGACTGAGTCTTTTCTCAGTCAAGAAAAGACAAGAAAAGCAAGAAAATTTAAAGCAAGAAAAGACAGCACTGCCACGAGAGGCACTCTTCCTGGCCTTTTAAAGAAATATCTCCTGCCTCACCCTAACATACCTTCCTCTCTATTAAAACAAAGTAGGCTCATGTGAGTAACAGACTGAAAGGTACAAATATAGTACCTGAAACGCCACCCTCCCCAAGTCAGCTTTTAACTCACCCAAGGATACAGACCACACCCATCTGACATCTACAGTCTCCCTGACCTTGATGTGTGGTGTATGTAAACTACCAAACAAAGAAAACACTTTAAATGGCTTTGTAATAAACAGCCAGCAACTTTATAAAGAAACATAAAATTATGTTTTTAACTGAGTCTCATCAAATCATTTTCCTTCCAGCTTTTTGGAAAAATGTGTAGAATGTCTGCTGGCATGGAACTCTGAATCTAGATGTAGACGTGGGATGTGGCCTGGTTCAGGGGGAGTCATGATGTATTGCTAAATACTTGGGAAAACTTCAGCACATGTTTTCCTTCCATTTGGATTTGTTTCCATATAGCTGTGAAGTCCATTCCTATCTTTAGCTTTGCTACAGTCCTTTCCTATCTTTTTAGTTATTTTCTAAGGTTTTTGCCCATGCAGTGATGTTTCTAGAGCCATACGAAATACTCCATTTTTCATCTGCTACATGCATCACATTTTTAAGAAAACTGTTGATTTATCTGACTTTTGTTTTGCTGATTTTTTTTTCCAGGAACTTTATTTGATGATAAAGGAGACAAGCATGCCAAAAAAGGAATTTGTATTTGGGAGTGTATTGATAGAATGCACAAGAGGAGTCCCATTTTCTTTAATTATTTATATTCACCAGTGGAAATAGAGGTAAAGAAAGAAAGCATTTATGTTGCATTTTTGGAATATTTTGTGTTGACATTTTCCTTACTTTGAGTGTATATAAGCTGTTTAAGCTTTTTATAAACATTTGACTAGATTTCATACCAGAAGCTATTTAAAGGTTGATACAATTTGGGTTTAGATTATGATGCAATGAAGTCTGTTACCAAATTCTTGACCAGAAAAATTAGGAGCTGGCCCCCTAAACATAGAAAGGATAACTTCAAGAAACTCAGAGCAGATCAACTTGCCCTGGGAAGGGAGAACAAACTTGAAAATTTAGCATGCTGTCTAAGCTGAAACACCTAAAATACTTCAGAAAGGACTTCCCTAAGTCCATTCGTACCAGAGCCATGGAAGAACCCCTATGAGAAGCAGGAAGGTTGGAGCCCAGCCTAAGAAGGATGACTTCTCAGGGACAGCCATGCTCTGCCATGCCCGTGTGCATGAAATAGGCTCTGCAGTGGAGTGGAGCTCTCTACCACCACTCACAGGCAAGAAGGCCCGGCCCTGGGCCCCAGAACAATAGGACCCCAACCCTCTTGGCCTTTCTCCAGATGCACCCTCCTCATGAGGTGTGTGAGAAACCAAGGGTACACGCTTATATGCTCCTCCTTCATCTAGATCACACTCTGGTACTTCAGAATTCCTTGCCCAAATTCAAATTACTTACCAGACCACTTCCCTAAGCCAGTGAGTGTACTCCTAAGCCAAAGGGCAGCTAAGGAGTAGCATTTGTCAGGGAGCAGACAGAGTTCAGCTGCAGGGCTAGGGTGTATGCACATGTTCATATGAGACCTTCAGAGTATAGGACAGAGCTGAGTCAGGAGGAGCAGGGGTTTAGGCCAACAACTGGGAACTGGGACCAGCCTCCCCCAGTGCCGAGGAGTCTAAGAATTTTCAATTGAAACCTGGCCTTCTAGGTTGTTTGTAAATTATATTTGTCAGGGTAGTATTGATGTGTAATGTTTAAATATATAGACATATGTCATGAGAACCTCTGTTCATCCTCTTACCTGGACCCCCCAGTGTTAGGGGCTGGCCTGCCAGTAAGCTTGGGCTACTTTGAGGTCAAGATGAAACTATATTTCAGAATTTTCTTTAAACAGGCCCTGAAGCCCAATGTAAACGTTTCCAGCCTCAAGAAGTGGGATTACTATATAGAGGAGACGCTTTCCACGGGGCCCTCGTACGACTGGATGATGCTGACCCCCAAGCAGCTGCCCTCCGAGGACTCTGAGCTGGCCGGAGGAGCCAGGCCCCAGAGCCAGAGGAGAACCGTGTGGCCGTGCTACGATGATGTCAGCTGCGCTCAGCCCGATGCTCTCACCAGCCTTTTCAGTGTAAGTCACCGCATGAAGCCAGACTCCCAAGGCTCTTGGCCCCTGAAGGCATGTGAGGCCTCAGGAACCTGGCTGAGTGAAGACTGGTTCACCAGCTCCTGGCCATGGCTCTCCTCACTCTGGGCTAGCATTCTTGCCAGCACCATAGGAACATGCGGAAACCAGACCGGCTCCCCAGCATCCCTGGAGAACCAGGCGCGGGGACTAGAAAACAGTCTCAGTAGAAGTGAGTTTTTCATCATTACGAGGAAGCATTCAAGCAAGTAGAGCAGTTTGCAGCTTCCCGGCTGTTTCATCTGGCCAAGAGCCGGAGTCAGACCTGGGTTGTGACTTCTGTGGGTGCCTTACTTCCTCCAGTCAGAAGTGTGGGTAGCTGATGGTCTGATGGGAGTACTGCCAGCTGTCTTCTACAAGGAATATTCTGGAGTGAAGCCATTCTGGCAGTAACCCCTATGATGAGAGCAGCAACCCTGAGGAAAGGGTTTGAGCCCTGACACGGGCCAGACAGTTCCTGAAGAGTCTTCTCCATTCAGCCTTCTGACCAGGAGGAGCGTGTGTGAGAGCGCCGTCACAGAGGCCGCTGCCCCGCTCTCAGTCTCCCTGGCCGAGGGAAATGCCAGGCCTTGGGCATTTCTTGGTTCATTCTCCCTACATCTGGTTTGAATCATCAGAGTCAAGGGGTTCCTCTGTCCAGGACAGACTTCTCATCTACCCAGCTATTAGGGTCTGGACATAGGCCTAGTGCTTGACCTTTTGCTGTGGCCATCAGATTTCCTATGGGCTGGCCAAGGGTGAAGGTGTTCGGGATACAGATTTCATCTATTTAAGCCATCTGTACAAAGAGGCCCGGTTACAGATCCTAATAAATCATCTTTGCCACAATGCATCACACCAGCTAGCACTCCCACCACCACCGTTCCTGGCTTGGAGACCTCTGCGGCCCCGGGCTTACTGCAGTCTTTCACTGCCGTCTGGTCATGCTCCTCCTCTGGATCAGAGGAGGTGTGGCTCTGGGGAACACCATGATTTCTGTGAAATACTCGGTTGGCCAAGAAGTTCGTTTGAGTTTGTCCACTGTTACGGAAAAGCCCAAACGAACTTCTTAACCAACCCAATACTTATCTGTCCAAAAAAAAACCCTTTTAATTTCTCTGTAGGAAATTGAAAGACTGGAGCATAAATTGAACCAAACCCCTGAGAAGTGGCAGCAGCTGTGGGAACGGGTAAACGTGGACCTTAAAGAAGAGCCCAGAGCAGACCATGTGAGTTGGCAAAGCCCTTTGAAGAGCTGCTACTGAGCTTCTTGAGGGCACTGGGTCAGGTGGGGCCTCTGCCACTGGTAACCCAGGAGGTTTATGGCCAAAGAGAGGGCTCACGCCTTGGGGTCCAGGGAAGAAAGTTCCAAATGACTGAGTGTCTCACTCTGCCACAGTGACATGGTACTTATGTTCAGTGCCCCGTATCCAGGGGAAATTACTGGGTTCTTTTCTGTCTCAGCACCTGTGTGGTTTCAGCTGATCTTCTACCACAGGAGGGGAGGCAAGAGGGGGATGCCAAGATCTTGTTGGCTCCAGAGAAATAGGGAAAGTGAAATATTTTAAAACAGTAAAATATGCCACTGTCTGTTGTTCACACCCCCTTTTTGTTTCTAAATTAAGAAACATTTACTGTAAAAATATTTTAATACCAAATACTCCGTTTTCTTCTTCTCATCGCCCCTTAAGCTGTAGAATGTGGAATGGGCTATGCTGAGCCCCTTGGCATCCACACCTTAGCGTCCTGTTAGCCCTCAGTGAGGGAGCGGCATCCAGCTCAGGCATGCAGGCTCAGGCCCAGATAACACGGCTGATACACAGGGCGGTCACCAGCCAAACCCACAGCAGCTCAGCTCCAAGCACAACAGAGGGAGGTTAGGACAGATGAGAGCACTTCAGGAAAGAAGAGGTCAGCAGGGTCAGATGTCACAGAGGGGTCAAGGAGAGTGGAGTATAGAAGAAAATATCCTCTGACCCTGTAAGAAGGGGTCCTCGGGGCACCATCTCTTGCCTGCAAGTGGCAACTCAGGGGCTATTATCAGACAGGCCATGCGTGGATGATGTCTTACTGCTTTTTTTCTCAGAATAAAATAGTTTGTTAATTTTTTTTCTGATTATGAATATGAGATATATGTATTCCTTTATAACACAGGAAGTTATAGAAATCACCCAAAATTTATAACATAGAAGTAAACCACTATGCCTTCAGACTTTTAAACACATATAAAAGGGATTTACTATAGACGTAGTTTTAAAACCTGCTTTCTTTTTTACTTAATATATGACATATGTGTCCTTCCATTTGTTACTGTGTATAAATCAACATCCTTTGTAACAGCTGTATAGAATTCCATTGTTCAGAATTTTTTTTTTAACTAGCCCCATAATGATAGGCATTTAGGTAGTTTCTAGTTTTTTGCTATTGTAAAAAAAAAAACTCCAAGGTAAGCATCTTTTTATACATATTTTATATAGACATATATATGGTCCAGTTTCTTTCTTGAGGTAAGTTTTTAGAAGTGAAATTATCGGATCAGTTGCTTAAAGTCTTTGTAAAGTCTTCCTATCTTCTGTTCTGTCTTTTTCAGCCCCAGAGATACCCTTCGGGCTCCCCAGGAACTGTGTCCACCAACCTCCCTTCTTATCAGAAGAGGCCTCAGCTGCACCTTCCAGACAGCAACCTGGCAGAGGAGCAGAGCACTGGTGTGCCCCCATCCAACGGGGTGGACCGCAGAGCAGCCACACTGTACAGCCAGTACACGTCCAAGAACGACGAGAACAGGTGAATATGTGAGCCCTGCCGGGGGTGCAGCCAAGGCTCCCCCAGCCCGCCACAGCCACACCGCAGGCCCTCGACTAAGCGAGGCCTGGGCCGTGCCACCTTCTGTCAGCTTCAGATGGATCCACTTTAATTTTTGTTTCTGTTTTAAATGTGTTAGATGGTTCTTGGAAGAGGAAAAGTCGAAATTACAACTAAAATAAGGCCAGGAGGTTGTAGTTATTTGTGGCGGGTCCTACTGTCTCCTCTCTGCCGGGTCTTTTGAGGGAATGTGTGTTAGTGAGCACCTCTCCAGTGGCAGACTTCTGAGATCCAGCACATGCTCGCCCAAGCCGAAAGGAATTTACTCACATCAAGTGAGAAAGCCAGGGTGTGCCAGTTCCTCACAGTACCTTCAGGCTTCTGTCGTTTACCAGCTCTGCTTCCTCGTACAGGCTGCATGAACCCCAGCGTGGCACAAAGGATGGCTGCTAAGAGCTCCAAACCTCACAAGTTTGGTAATCCCAGCAGAATGAGGCAGTCTTTCCCTGAGAATCTAGTAGAGGAATTCTGGGGGGAGCTCCGACTGATCTTTTTTGGATCATCTAGGGGAAACAGCACATAGTAAAATCATATTAACCACAATGTCATCATTACTTCTAGGTCCTTTGAGGGAACGCTGTACAAAAGAGGGGCTTTGCTGAAAGGTTGGAAGCCCCGTTGGTTTGTTTTGGATGTAACAAAGCATCAGGTAATAAACACCATCACAGCCTATAGCAGTCACTTCTCCCCAGGCAAGGCTCTGTCCCTGGCTGTTGTGTGACTCCCAGCAGACACGCAGAGCCCCGTGTACAGAATGCTTCCTCTCACCAGCTACCCGGGGGCTGCTCCGTGGATCCAGTGAGAGTGCACGCGGCAGCCCTGTGAGGAAGTGTGGGTGTGCGCAACAGAGGCAGTGACCATGGAGCCCAGAGCATTAAGAGCAACAGAACTCTGCTTCTTAATGCTCATGCATCTCCTGCTGCCTGCTGTCCACAACCAGGCCAGGAGAGGACCTGAGGGTTTCAGCGTGTTGCATACCACATGCACATACAGAGCCCATGCCTGTGAACACTCTCCAGAATACAGATCACTTCGTGTCGACAGCACAAAGCATCCATTCAAAGTCGAGGGCGTTAATTTATTCAACAAACATTTCTTGAACACCTTCTCTGTGCCCATCCCTGTACTAAAGAAGGCATCATTATCCCTCAAAGGTGACAGCAACAGAGGAGGGAGGGAGCTTTAAAAAAGGCAGAAGGGGATTGTGCCCATCCAAACCTGAAATCCGCAGTGGGCGGACACCAGCCTGGACCTCCCAGTCCATGCTGGGAAGTCTTTTCCCCACTGTTAGGTTCTTTGCTATGGCTCTAGCCACTCCCCCCGCTCTCCCCACAGTCCTTAGAGTCAGAATCTTTGCTCCGGTGATATTGGAGGGTAGGGGAACGTTATGCAAACTTCCCGCCTCTTTGCATCATTCACTGGAGAGTCCTATGTCCTCCCATGGTCTGACCAGAGACTTCACTCTGCCTTAGAACTGACCAGTCAAAAAAAAAAAAAAAAAAAAGAACTGACCAGTCAGCCTTGAGCAGATTCTCAGTGCAAAAAAAAAAAAAAAAGATTCTCAGTGCATTTATGTGTAACATGGAGTCTGCTGAGAAAGATAGGGGCTGTACCCCAGTACGGTGCTCTGGTTGGAGCTGCGTCTAGATGACTCCTGCCAGATGAACACTTTATGTGGGGATTGACCACCTTTCACTCTGCTCAAGGAATTTCATAAAGGTTACACGGAATCCTGTTGGATTACAGATAGAGAGAATTTTTTTTTTTATAGATATGCAGTGGAAGCCCTTTTTAGGCAACTGGACTTTAAACAGCACTGTCTGAAATTAGAGCCTACATTGTGTAGAAAAGTCCCATTAAACCACTAAGTAAAACATAGGAGAACGTCATGATGTGTCTGTAATTTACAGTTACATCAAATTATACTTACATTCTTGCCAGTCTTTTAGATTTAATACAAAAAGTATACAGTTTTCTATTTGTACTACTCCTACCATGCCTGCAGAGAGAGGCAGAGAAAAGGCTGAGGCCAGAATCACAGTGACGGAGGCACCAGACACATTCCTGCCGTGTAACTTTCTGAAATCCAGACTGATTTAGTTCAAGTGAAATCCAGTCCTTACACATAGTAACCCTCAGTCAAATGTTGAGCTATTCATTGTTTTTCAAAAATCACTTCATACCCACCTGCTATTTGGAAATTTGCTCTTTAAATATAGTATAGCTTGAACATATTTTCCTACCAGTTCACACAGATCTTATTCCTTAAATGTTGTATAGAATTCCATACTATTGATGTACCATCATTTAATTAATCAACACTCTATTGACAGGCAGATACATCTTTTCAATCATTAGCTGATAGAGGGAGTGCTGAAGGAAACCTCTTCATTTATGTGTCTTGGCATGCTTGTGGGAGTGTTTCTGTGAGATAAATTCCTAGAGGTGGGAAAGGTGTATCAATAGGTATAAGCATTTTAACTTTTAGTTCATATTGCCACATTGTCCTCTAATTGGTTTCTGACTAATTATAACCCCACAAACAGTGCTTACAAATACCTCATGCCCTCCATTCAACCTGAATACTGTCAACCATTTTAAATATTTCTTAATCTAAGTGAAAAGTGAAATCTAATTGATTTCATTTACTTTTGATTGTTTAGGCTGTTCACCTTTTCATATGTTTGTAGGTCACTCAAATTTTTTCTGTGAGTTGCCAGTTGAAATCCTTTGACCAATTCTCTATTAGGTTGTTTATCTTTTTCTTCTCAATCTCTAGGAATTTTGTATATATTCTAAACATTAATCCCTTATTCATATGTTCCATATATTTTTTACAGTTGTTGATGTTTTTATTCTTGTATATGTAGTACATTTTTTCAAATTTCAGAAAATGTATCTTTTTACCCTTTCTCCCAGCTACCTAATTCTTCTTCCTAGAAGCAGACAGTTTTTAATTTCTTGTCTGTTCTTCCAGACATAGTTGAGCAAGATATGGGAAAGTATTCAGGTACCTTTTGAAAAGCCCTGCTGTTTCCCCTTCCTGTGTCTCTTATATCCCGTGTGTCCTTTGGTTCTAGCTGCGATACTATGACTCGGGTGAGGACACAAGCTGTAAAGGCCACATCGACCTGGCTGAAGTAGAAATGGTCATCCCTGCTGGCCCCAGCATGGGCGCCCCGAAGCACACGAGTGACAAGGCTTTCTTTGATGTAAGTTGACCTTTGTCTTTTCCTGGCTCTCTGAACGTGATCCCTTACAGTCAGTCCATCCACTCCAAGAATGACGGGGCCTCAGAGCAGTTGACGGTGACTACAGATGGGCCACAGCCCCACCCTGGCTGTGGGAACTGCTGCAGAATTGAAGCCAGCGCTCTTAATCCCCAAACCTGACCTCCCCCTGCTGTCCCTATGGCTCATAAAGGCTGCATGTTGCTTTGCACAAAAGAGTCCTTCAAAAGGTATCCAACTACACTTGGAAGCAGAGGAACTCCTTGTTAAATATTGTTAGTTATTCACTCACCACCTTCTGTCAAGAACAGATGTTACTTCCCTTTCATATCTTTTTGTCTTCAAGCTTGATCATCCAAAAAAAAATCATTAGTCACACATGATGACTGCCTTCCCTGACATCTTCAGCTGGCCTTGGGACATTTTATGGGCCTCATGATAGGGGACTTCTGTAGTCCCCAGAGCCAAGCAGGGCTTCATACAGGTCACACTTGAGTGCTCTCCTCAGGCTGTGAGGCCGTTTCCCTGGCTCTGAACTCCCAGTGAGGCCCCAGCTGAAGACTTCGAGAAAGAGATGGGAAGGGAACGTGAAAGCCCACCCCACCATGGTGTGGATGAAGCTCAGCCTTCTTGGCTCCTTTGCTTCAGGACTGCAGTGCATGGGTGAGGCAAGAGTCTCCAGCTATTCCAGACCCTCTGCTTTAGTCAAGAAGGTGCAAAGTCAGGCTTTTCTGGAGTATCTGTCTTCTCTGCAGACCCTTCTGTTAAGATCCCCTGTGACTCTGGGGACCAGGAAAGTAAAATCACTTCCATAAGCAGTGATAGTACAGTAGTGGAGGGCAGAGAAATACGGAGGTTCCGGGGTAGTATCAAAAGGGAAGGTCACAGGGATTAATTAGCTCACATGCCCAAACCTGTAGACTAGCCCTGCCCTCATCTCTGCTTCTCTTCCTTTGTTTTTGTAGCTCAAGACCAGCAAACGTGTGTATAACTTCTGTGCCCAGGATGGGCAGAGTGCCCAGCAGTGGATGGACAGGATCCAGAGCTGTATCTCTGATGCCTGATGTCCATGGTCAACCCACACAGAAGAGGGAGGAAGGGCTTGTGCTGCCAGATAGGAAAAAAGTGCATGAATCCTTGAAGAGCTGACAGCTTCCTGCTCGGTTCTGATGAGTCATCCTCGGGCCTGAGGTCCTCCTGCCCAGACTTGGCCATTCCCCTCTCTCAGCAGTTGCTGCGTCTTCTTAGCCGGAGGAGATGTGTCACACACGTCTGGTCAGGAGCCCCAGGCCCTCCCTGTGTCCTGCACTAGGTTGTTCTAACCCAGTGGTTAGAACAGTTCCTCATGGTTAGGGATCAGAAGAATGCTTCCTGAGCCATCTGTCACCCATCCCCTAGGCCAAGCGGCTACCACCCACCTGGGTCCTTCTTCATGAAAGCTGGATCCTTTCTGTTCTCCAAGGTCATAACTTCTTGGAGAACTTCCTGACAAGCAAAGCTCAAAAATCCTCCAAGACTATCTTCCATTCTGCATAGGTTTCCCATTGGAGGTTCCTGCTCTTACTGCCCAACCTTAGAGATACTTGGTTCTCTGGTGCTGCCAAAGGTGCTTCCAGGATCCCTGCTCGGCGCTGGGGTTCACAGCAAGACCACCAGTGCTCAGGCAGGCCAAGGGGCACACAGAATAGCCTGATGGGAAAGACTGGCCAGGGAATGGTGCAGTAATCACCAGGCCAATGCAGGAAAACACTGCTTCCAAAATACTGAATTTTCTAGGCCAAAGGTGCCCTGAGGATCCAGGACTGTGTGGTCCCATGTATTCTTCTGCTCCCTGACAGCTTCTTACACAAGATAACATGCAAAAAGCTGAATGCACTAATTCACAAAACAGCCACTTGCACTGAACTCTAATAAAGTGAAGATGTTGGAGAGACAGAAGCCAGCTGTTTATGAGCATACCACCCCTGTGACAAGGGCTGTGTAGGCCGCAGTCACACCGTGGTGTGACTGGAAACCCAGACAGCACCTCTGCACGTGAACTTGAGGACTTATTTAGTCGTTAGATTTTCTTTACTTTTGATAACCTGTGTTTGTCCAGCTTAAGATACAGGAATGCTGTTTGTTCACAGTGAACAGAGACAGCTTTTCTGCAACAGCCACTGTGGTCAACTGGAGTCGTAGGTAGCTAGATCATCACATTTGTTTTGAAATGTTAATATGTTAAATACCAAACTAATGTTTCAAAAATATGTATATATGATTTCTATACGCTTGTTTTTCAGGTAGTATGCTTATAATTTAATATAAAATTAACTGATTCATTCATAAGATTTCAGTAATTTTAAAATGGTTCCCTTTTTAAAAAACCACTTTGTAGATGAAAAATAAATCAGATTTTCAAATTTAAAATTATCTACACACTAGGAAACAGAACTGTGTTAATATATAAGAAATTCGGGGATAATAAGAATGAAGGATTTTTCTATCATTTTCATTTTATAAATTGCCACCTGTGAAAATGGTTTTTGCACATTATTTGTATTTTTCTTTGTATATGAAATAATTTTTTGTACTCTGTAAAATATGGAGCCCACTGTACCTTCAGCTATTTGAGACTTTACACAGTGCTTCTTTTGTAACTGGATTCTTTTAACTTTCATGAAGGCACTACAGGCCTTGTATTCACTAACCACCTTGAATTAAATTTATTTCTTAAGAAAAAGCATCCCTCACTTACTGAAATAAAGTTCATTGTGGGATACTCAGGAGGCAACACTCATGATTCATACATGGGACTAAAAGTTCAAGGGCAAAACACAGCATAACCCATTTCTTGTCTTGGTTCTATTAATGTCATCACTGCCCTTTGCTCAGGAAGTAACCAGACCCTGGAAACGCTGGCCTTAGCTTCTGGGTTCTGAACACACTGCTGCGGAGTTTAGGTAAGAGGCCTGAGGCTGCCACTCCCACCCTGTGCCTCTGATGAGCTGTGTGAAATTGGTGAAGTCCTTTACCTCTTCCGGATTGCAGTTTCACCACCTGTGGCATATGGCAATTGGCAAGAATTTTAGGCAGGAGAAATCAAATTCTAGTTCAGAAGCAGATTTTTCTGTTTCAGGAAATTGTTAAACAGCACAGTCTGGACCACACTTCCTCTCATTAAGCTCTTGGAGTTTACCTTGGGGACCCCGACTGCATCTGGACGGGGAGCCAACAGAATGCAGGTTCTCAGGGCTGAACCCCCAAGTCTGGAGATCCAGGGAGAAGGAAGGGCCCCATAGTCGTCCTGAGCCTTCCAATTTCCTGAGTCTCCAGGACTCCTGGGACCTGCCATTCTGCATGCTGTGACCCTGACATGACCAACAAGTGGAAACCGCTGGGAGTGTCAGCCGCCTCTTCATTCCTCAGTCTTATCTACTCGGGGAGAAGGGCTCTGGGTTCCAAGGAAGAAAGACAGGCCTGGCACCCTGCCCCTGCGGCCCCCCTGACAAGGCCTTCCTTTGCCTGGGTTCCTGCAGCCCCAGGGGAGCCCCACTCCCCAAAACCTTCAGCCCAGGTTCATTCTCACCTCCCAAGCCCGTCTACCCGATGACCTCACTCCAGAGATGGAGTGTTAACTGTTAATGTACGGCTAATTTGTTTCTCAGTGAAAACTGACGTTTATAGATATTTCATTTGGAGTTCTTTTAAGACTTGTTAAGTAACTCCATTATCTCATAAAGAATTTCTGAATAATCTCAAGATCTCAGGCTGATAACCAGGAAATGCCCTCAGTTACAGCAATCAGAGCTATGAATTAAGCCAAGAATAAAACAGTATGGATGAAGAGAGAAGACTTGGAGCAGTACTACCAAACAGATATATAATCAGGCCACTGTGAATCTTTTTTAAAAAGTAAAAAGAAATTGATAAAGTTTTATAACATTTTATTTTCAATAATAGTTATATTTACCATAATCTCTCAAAATTATTTCAACATGTCAATCACTACAAAAAATTACTCATGAACTAGTTCATACTGAGTCCTCAAAACCCAGTGAGTATTTTGCACCTACAGTCTATCTCAGTTTGGACCAGTGTGTTATCTTTTTTCCAACACCACTTCTCATACAAAATTCCTGTCGTTCCTTACTCCATTCTCCAGTTCTTCCACACCAGCTGGGTGTCCCCGCAGTTCATCCATTTCAGACTCTTCCTCCCCAGAGTCAGCCCAGACCCCATAGTTGAGGGCCCGGCCCCACAAGACTGCCCCCCTTCAGATGCCACTTGCAAGTCCCAGGGGCCACCAGACTTTTGACCAACGCACGACCCCCTCCCCAGGTCAGTGATTGTCCAGAAGAAGGTACACAGCTCAGGAAGTACTCTGTGTTTATCAGTTTGTCCTAAAGGAAACACAGCCAAAAGGAAGAGATACATGGGGCAAGGATTGGGAGAGGGGGTGGCCTGCGCCCTCCCAGCACCTCCCTGTGGTCACCAGCTAGGAAGTTCTCTGGATCCTGTCAGGATTTTTTCATAACCCACTCTCCAGTCCCCCTGGAGGTGTAATTTCCCACACCCCGTTCACATGTAGTTCTTTCTGGTAACCAGTCTGAAGCTATCTAGGGGCCCAGCCTGAGTCACTGCAGTCACATAAATACAGGTGTGGGCAGAGGGACTCATTATGAATAACAAAGGCACGCCTTTTACTCAGGAAGTTCTAAAGGTTTTAGCAACTCCACGCCACAAACCCAGGACAAAGATCCAAAAAAAAAAAACTTTTTAAATGATACCACAACTAGCCACATTCCTGTGCTACTATGCCAGGCCGGGCAGATTTAGAGCAATCAGCCTGCTCGTAGCAGAGCCAAAGTGGGAAGTGAGAGACCTGGGTGCTGTGTCTAATTCATGATAAGACCGTGAACTACATCTCAACTTTAAGGCTTTGACCTATAAAATGAAGGACCCTGATCTGTGAATTTGTGATTCCAAGGGTTCACCTTTGCAACGACTGAGGCTCCAAACTGTGATTGAAAGGATTTGCTGAAAGAGACCAAATCATCTAAATCAGCACTTCACAAATTGTAGTGTGTGTATGAATCATCTTGTTAAAATGCAGATCCTGACTAAGTAGGATTGAGAGGGGACTTGACATTCCATATTCCTAATATGCTTGAAGGTGACGCTGAGGCTGCTGGTCCAAGGATCCTGCTTTGAGTGGTGCTAACAGACGTGTTCGTCCCAGTCCTCTGAGAAGCAGGCACCAAATGGGCAGGAAAGTAGGGGAGGTGGGAGAGTCAGGGGACCAGTGTGCAGGCGTGACCTTGTGAAAGACCCAGGGGAGGGAGGGAGGAGGAAAAGCTGAGTGGGAGACTTAGACTGCGGAGCAGCTCTAAGGAAGCTCGGCAAGGCAGATGAGAAGTCCTCAGGACATCACGAACCATCAGAGCAACCCCACGCCTCCCCAGGGTAGCCTGCCTGGGACCCCCACCCCGCTCAGCCATCAGCATGCTGCAGCCAGAAAAACAAACACAGCAGTGGATTCCAGAATGCAGCAGCAGCTGGGGCCCCAGTCACGCACAGGCTGTGCACTCACAGACCCAGGGGAGTCTTAGCGTGGTTGCAGTGCACCTCTCGTAGCCAGGTTCCAGAGAAGTTCCTCCCAGTTTTCCCTGGGCCTCTCTTCCTAGCGAAACTCAGAGGCGAGTCCAAGGACTAATACAGCACCCTTGATGCAGCTCATCTCACACCCTCCCTCTTCCCACTCTCCATTCTGAGTTCCCCTCACCCTCAGTCACCTCAGGACATGCTGATGGCTCTCCTGGAGATGTGATCCAAGCCTTCATCGAAGGAGGTTGTTGTTGTTTAGTTGCTAAGTTGTTTCGACTCTGTGACTCCATGGACTGTAACCCAACAGGCTCCTCTGTCCATGGGATTTCCCAGGCAAGAATACTGGAGTGGGTTGCCATTTCTTTCTCCAGGAGATCTTCCCAACACTGAGGGAAGATCAGTGTAATCAAACCTGTCTCAGGCCAAGACTGCTGCACAGGTCTCCTTCGGTTACAGTGGGGATTACTTGGTTGGCTAG